TTTGTTTCTTAGGGGGGCGGCAGTTTGAAAAAGGTTGAGAAACACTGATTTAAGCGAACACGTTATTTTAATGCGATTTGAAATTAAAATTGTATATTACTTACATGCTTTTATAGTTCACATAATGGTTAAAAATATATTTTGTTTAAACCACTATACGGGTAAACCTTATGAAATAAAAATAAATTTCAATAAATATAATTTAAATAGTTAAAGGTCTAGCGTTAAAATGCTTTTTTAATCCGGACGAGTTCATTGTTATGAAAAAAAAAAAATTCTAGAAGTAGTGATTATCGTGATTAAATATTTAATTTTTATAATTGTTATAATTGTACTGCATTTTTAAGTAGGCTGTTATAACAAAAGCAATTTTACTTTTCAACTGTACTTTTGTTCGAATAGTTTATAACATTGTGATTGTGCATGATTATACATGAATAACTGTAGACGTTTACAACCATACCTAAATGTATAATAGGTACTTACGAATCAAATCCTTGTATTTCAACTTTTCTTAACTTCGTAGCACTAAAAAGCTTATATAAGTTCACTACAAATGTGTAGTAAACATTGCCTTTATACTTGCTTAACGACTGGTCTACCTCATTCAACTGAAAAAAATATCGCAAAAAGTTCATAAGAATCAAGTATATTTATATATATATATATATATATAGGATACACTATAATATTATTTTCAGTGTTAAATATGTTTTCAAATTACTTTTAAAATGCGTTCCATTGAATTAGTCGTCGTCACGAGCATTGAATCCATTTTATAAATGTGAAGACATAATGTCTCTAATTCAGTTTTTATCAATGTTAAATTGTTTGTCAAGATTCGAATCTTTCGATTTTTTGTTTTCAACGACTTTTTCAATTTAATTATTGCAGTATTCATTCTGCTAGCTTTATATGCTTTACGCTGGTTCCTATCATTTTTCACGGACAAGTCTTGTAACTGACAACTGAGACCTATTTTTTTGACTTTCATCACATCCATTATCTAAAAATTAGTACAAAAATGAATTGAATACTCTCGTATAATTATTTATTTTTATTGTTTACAGTTAATGGGTTTTTGATATATAATACTATTACACCTATTGAAAACATTTATAAATATAAAAATGTCTAATTTCATTATAACCTGTTTTTGAGCTATGATTATTTTATTTAGACGACTATTTTCTCTCGTATACATTTTGTTTTCAATTTTTAAATCTAAATTATCGGATTTAACTGACGTGTATTTTTTATTCATTTTGAACCAGCTTTCAGAACATTTTTTTAACTGAAACAAGTATAATACAGCCAATAAATTGCATTTCTAATAAATAATATCGTGACCCTCAATAATTTACTTCTTTCTTTATAACCGCATTTTCTTGTAAAGTTCTTTGAAACGTGGAAGACATCAACTTTTGTAAATTATTCTGAATCGTAGTAGATAGTTGCAAAAGCTTAGCTTCGTTTTGACGTTTCATGCTGAAAATATAAATTAGTGCATTATTTAGATGGCTTAGTTTAAAATAATTTACTATAAAAAGTGAAATATAGTTAAGTAGAAATCTCGTTAAAGTTAAATTTCGAAAAAATAGTTATAACTATTTAAAAAGTTATTTAATTTTCTTCTTACTGTTCTTTAGCTATAATGAGTTTTTTTTCTGTTTCATAAATTAAATTATTATTTTCTTCTTTAAGTTTTGATAATTCTTCTTCTTGTTTTAAAAATTTATCCGTTAGTTGAGTTCTTTGTTTTTTGAACTCGTTTAATGAATTCACTTTGCTATCTATAATACAAATTGTAGTTACAACTTACAGCTTAAAATTTGATAATTTATCTTTTAAATATCATGGGAAAATTCCTACTTATACCAAAATCTCTTAAGAACTGCTTAAAATATACTCGTATAATTAAAAAATGATTATTTTCGGTGAGAAAATTTTAAAGTCAGTAATATAGCCGATAACCATTACTTACTATTAATTATGTCGATATTTAATTTCACTTGATTTTTTCTTTGTATAACTTAATAACTCTTAACATTTTTATATGTTTCCAATTTACTTATTTAAATACATACAAATATGAAAATTACATAGGTATTAAACATTATCTGATGAAAACATTGTATAATAGTAAAACGTACTTTTTTAACTTTCTTTATAAATGTATATTTATTTAAAATGAATATATTTAAAAAAATATATTACATAACATAATATTTATTTTATTATGATTTAAATGTAATAGTATGTATTAAGAAAATTCAATTTTATCAATTTTTGTAAAAAAGAAAAAAAATATCTATAAAAAGGTTATTTTAGTATACAGAATTATATCTAATTTTCATTGTTGTTTTACATACTTAATAAGCCAATTTCTGCTTTCAATTGCCCAAAAACTGTTTCAAATTGATCATTTTTCTTCAAAATGATGTCTTCGTAATTTATTTTTTGATGTTCAATAGTCTATTCAAATGATATTTGAATTAGTTAACATTTATATCGCTCATCACTCATTAGTTACTAAACAAAATGTCACTGTGGTATAAAATCAATGGATTTTTAAAAAATTAAAGATAAACAAACATAGTTTAATCTGTTCGTTATTTTCAGATATAGAATGCATTTTTATTTTATTAATCAATTTTATTCTTCAAAACTTAAATCACATCGAAACGAAATAAACATGTACTTTTATTATAATAAAACCCATCAACTTATTTATGTACCTATTTTTTTTAAAAAATATTTGCAATTAGGTATATTAAAATTTTCACACAAAATAGTCCTTTTTTATTTTTTTCTTGCTATAAAGTAGGTAGGTTAAAGATTAGGTAAATTAAAGATTAGATTCCATATCAATTTTAATATTTTTTATAAAAACCCCATGGTTATATTCAAAATGTTTGTGTTTTACTTACCGTTTTCAAGGTAGAAATAGTATTATCCAAATCAATTATCTCGTTGTTTTTAATTTCCACTTGTCGTGATAAATACGCTATGATATCACATTGGCTTTCTTTTAATGCATTAGCTTTTTCTCTTTCCAAATCATTATTTTTCTCCAATTCCACACATCTGTTAGTTACTCTAGAGCATATTATTAGGCATTTTTGGTTGACATAAATTATTATTAGTTTAGAAAAAAAAAAATAATAATTTTGAAGACCGCGAAGAGCGCACCATGAAATAACAATAGAAAGTTTTAATAATTATATGCAATATTTTTTTTACAATTACAGTTTTATTATCATCCTTCTTGCGTGTAAAATAATTAAAAATAAGAATTTCATATTTGTGATTAGTAATGTTTCTTTAAAAAGAACTTTGCTTGCAAGTACTTAAACTGAAATTTATAGCAGAGAAACGTTATACCTCATATAATTGTATGTATATCTACAATAATATCGTACAGAATTATTAATTAAAATAATGTGATTCCTAATATTTTTTTCAGTTTAATTGATTCTTAAGAATATTGTATATAATACCTGGCAAGTTTTTCGGATAGATCGGTTATTTGTATGTTGTACATGGTACGATCTACTTCTTGTAACGCATCTTTCTCCTCTTTGACATTTTTTTTTTTATGACCTTTTTTGTTTTTTTTCTTTTTAGGTGAATTGTGCATCGTTTATATTTGATCGACAACACAACGACGTAGAATTCTGAATTCTGACTACCAAATGAATAATAGCTACACCCTAATCTGTGTGACGGAATGCTCCACGTACGTATCTACCTACTCGTTATTTGTAAGCATTGGAGGTAAGTATTGATCAAACTAGTAAGTATGTCAACTGAAATGCACAAATGAAATTAAAATACCACTTTTCTAGTGGTAGTCATTTATATTTATTTGGATTTATATTATCAATGTTCTTTAGTCTATAGAACATGTCCCGCCGATAGGGAATGTAAAATATTAATAATAATAATAATAAAATCAAAGTATAAGAATGTCTATAACAATGTTGAAAAGGTGTTTAGAGAAATGGGAAAAACATTTAAAAAAAAAAAAGCAATAAAATTAAAATTTGAGAATATTTTCAATCCATATAACATTGTTTATTATTAACAATATTAAAGTAAAACTATATTTAAGAAATGTATTGGACTTTTAATGATATTATGTTATTTTTCAATAAACAATGTATATCTTTAATAATGCTTTATTTATTATAAGTATAATCAGTGGAGGATCTAGAATTTTGTCTTAGGGTCCAAAGTTTTTCAAAACATGTTTAATTATCTACCCACTCTTTGAATTAATTTTTTTTAGTTAATTTTCTAGGTCATTTTTTAGGTTTTTTAGGACGTTAAAATCCAAGATCTATTTATAACATATTAATATTATTGTATATTTCAGAGCTCAGAACTTAATGAGTAGGATGATTTGGTTAATTTATACCGCCTCTGCCGCAGGTTGTTGTTCAACGGGTGGGTTGAGTGATTTAACAAAAATCTCTGATATCGGCCGCATTTATGAGGTTGATATATTGTTATGTTTTTATTATGTTTCAGTGATTTTATACAGGATTCTCAATGTAAATGTTAAATTATTTTTCTACTTGTTAAATAAAACATATGTAATTGTTAAACTAAATATAAAAATATAATAATAAATGTAAAAATTGTTTTCCTTCTTAAATGTATTGTTAATAGATTAGGGTACCACACTATATGTGCTATTGCATGCATGTTGTGTATAAATTCAGAGGAAATGTTACATAAGGATGAAAAAAAAATAAGGCTGTTTGGAAAAGTATAATAGTAAATATTTATTAAGATTTATTTATAAACCATTTTCTCAATACATGGGCTATATACAAAATATAATGTTTGAAATTAACTTGTTACTATAACTTTTACTATAAAACCGATTTTTTTTCTTGTTTTTGTTTTATAGGTTATAATACGGTTACTTATAACTAATAACAAATTACAACATTTAAATATAGTTTCTTATTATTTAATCAAGTATTAAAAATAACCAAATCTGATTTTCTTTTTTTTAATTTCTATAGTTATATGATTTCCTTCAGTATGAAATATTTTCCTTTTTATATTTATTAGCTTTAAGTTGAAGTTTTTTGAACCTAGATAGTCTATGAATTGCTTACCAAAAGTTTTTCTAGAATATTCCATTCTCACATCAAATGCTATATTTAATATATTTGATAACATAGATTTAAGTTATTATTTATATAAATATTATAAAGTTATAATTACTTGAAGACGTATAAGTTCTTCTGAAGGTGGCTGTAGTATAATGAAATCATCAATCGCAAGCTTTCTAGATCCTGACGAAGATCCTTTCTACTGATTATTAAAATATTTAAAATGGTTTCTACTAAAATCCAGAATAAACAGTGTTTATTTAAATATTTCATGAAAATTTCATGAAATATATAATTTAAGTGAAAAATAAAAATTTCGTTTCATTTCAGTAAAATATAATGCTTTATGTTTTATTTTTTATGGAATTCTTGCTGCATTATTAATTGTACTAAATAGAAATAAAAACTAATTTATATAAATTAACAATTAACACCATATTAGTTTATAGTATAAAAAAGTTAGTTTAGGTACATAATAATAATAATAATAATAATAATATTGCTTTGTTAATTTTATTTATATTATATTATAGGTCCTATAATATTTTATATTATATAATATATAATAGTAAAAATTTACGCGTGTCATGGATTTACCATCGCTGATATAGGTGAACCGACATAGAACAAAGATTAATTGTTATCAAATAATAGGTACTAAAATTCACAATTTGTTTGCACGAGGTTGTAATATTTTCCTATTGGTTACTGTTGATATATTCACCATAAGCTATCCGAACACATTGTAGACGCATGACTATCTACGTATCACCGTATGACTGTTATGTGGCATAGATCAGCGGTTCTTAACCATAGGGTCGCGACCCAATTTTGGGTCGCCAATAATTTTAAATGGGTCGGATAAAAATTTAAAACGTTAGTATAATATTTTTATTTTTAAGTCTTATAAATAATAAATGAAACCTCATGTACGTTGGTTATCATGGAGAAAAATTTTAACTAGATTTTTTGAATTAAGAACTGAAATAGAAGTATTTTTAAGAGAAAAAAATTCACTGTTATCCATCCATTTTCAAGATATAATTTGGCGTATCTATCAGATATTTTTTCGTTATTAAATGAGTTAAATTTGAGTATGCAAAGGCCATTAACTAATATTTTTACATGTTGTAATAAATATATTAACTACAATCAAAACCAAATCAAGAAACAAGCTTGATGTCGAACCCACGATGCGTATTTCACTTACTAACTCTAAATTGATTCATTGGTAAAGCAACATCAAGACCAAGGAAGTCATTAAATTAAAAATTATTTAAAAAACAATACAATATTATTAAAAAAAATGTTTATTTTTAAATATAATGTAATTAATATTATGACTTGTTATGAAAACAAGTAATATGAGTAAAAAATGTTATTCAATTAAGAGTACCAAATAGTTATTTTTTATTCTACCATTGAATATTATTTATAAAAAGGTCGCAGGAAAAATTTGGTAAATATCTTGGGTCGCCACTACACAAAGGTTAAGAATCGATGGCATAGATCGCAGATTTCTATATACCTATATTTAAGTCTGTAGCATAGATCTCATAACTATAATATTGATAATAGGTCCATGGTTATGCGCACTGCCTCTTATCAACCGTCGGCGTTCTTATCATGCACGTGGACTGCATTTCCGTAACTATCACGAAACGGACTGCCGGGCAGCGTTTTTAAGCGGGTGTTGAAAGCAACTCGGTACGGTCGTGAAACTATCAACAAAGTCAACAATTGCGCTGCAGAAACAAGGTGATATATAAAGATCGTCGTTCCAAAACTAACTAGCCTCGAAATTTCTAGTTCAACATGAAACTCGCGTTCGGCCGTCTCGCGACCATTGGCTTCACGTTGGCCAGACGCTGTACGACCGCAGGACCACCTGTCATTAAACAAGTCAATGTCACGAAGCCTCACTCGCGGCCGCCACCATCGTCCAGCCAATCGTTCACTTTCCTGGATACAGAGAACTACAACGCACACAATGTGATGGTCCAGGATGCGGCGTATAGCCAGACGGTTATCGATCCTGACAACCAGCAGGACTGGATCGTCGTGAATGACAAAGAGTTCCACTTGCTGGTCACGCAGGAGTCAAAGGAGAAGAGTGTTTACGAAGTGTGCGATGATTTCCTGAAGGTGAGCATGTATGCGATGGGCAGGGATTTTGATCTGACTGACCCAATGTTTGACGTGCTTCGTAATCAATTGGTAGCTATGCTACCCCAAGTCACGGATTACCAGCTGATGTCCATAATGAGAATGATTCCATTATGGAACATGAAGAACGCCAAGGACCCAGTTTTCTATAAGTTGTGGTCAGCTTTAGACAAGCAGTGCATCGAGAGGTATAAAAAGTGGAGTCTTGACAAATTGCTTTTGTGTATGGATCACTGGTATATAATGAGGTTGTCAAGAATGAGTAACTTTGTTTGGTTAGGCGTAAAGAAACTGTCACGCAAACCATCCAGGTAAAATTGTTGGTTCCCTTAGTTTATTATGTTGAATATATTTGAAAAGATTGTTATATTTTCTGATACTTTTCTAGTTTTTATTTAAAATCAATCTGGAAATAAATATTGTTTCTAAGAAAAATTAAAAATAAATTATTATCATAATTGTCAGAAAATAGATATGTTTAAAATTCTAAATGTTAAGTTTTCTTAGTTTATGCATGCGTTTTGATTCTGTCCAATTTAATTTTGTACTGGAGTATTGTTACAGTACTGTACTGTATAGTACTGATAATTATAGTGAAGTTGGTAAATTATATGGTTAATTTATCCTCTGTTATACTGTAATATGTTCTTTATTTTCCTTCATTAGGCATCCAAATTTTGTTAGCTTTTTTAATTTATAAAATAAATTATGGATTTCTATGTGTTTAGATATAATATTTAGTTTACTTCTAATGTAGTTAATTAAAGGAAATATTTTCATTGACTTTATTTTTTACTATGAAAGCTAATATAATGAGAGAAGCGACAAAAAATTATAAAGAAGTTGCTTGTGCATTTTTTTTCTTTATAAAACACAGAAAAAAGAAAAAATTATTTAACAAATTAATATATTTGAATTATAATAAAATGTTTGTCTTTTTGATTTTATTTAAATTAATTTTATTAAAAAAAATAATTTTCTCAATTTCAGGTTGACTCCTAAGCAATTAGTTCAAATGATGTTTTATGCTAATACTAGTAGAAAATTTTTACCAACATTACCTATGTATGATATCGAACAAGAAATATGTACATATTATAATGACTTTAGTATTAGAGAACTGGGCATAGTATCTTTGGGATTCTTTAAAACCCAAACACCTATACGCAATCAAGAACTTGTAAGGAATCTTTACCATTCTGTAAATAAAAAAATTACTGAGATCAATAGTATAGAACTGGCAGCATTTTTAAAGGTTAGACTTTATCTTTTTTAAATTATTATAATTTAAATAAACATTCAAATAAATAATGTATCGAGTTTTTAAATGTCATGTGTCCTAGATGAATTTTTTTTAGAATTTATTTTGTGGATTAATTGAGGATTAAATGAACTACTTGAGCATAGTATGCGGACAGGTCGTTTTATTTAATCATGATTTACTGACTCTGTTATTGCAATAACGTTTGCATTTTATTATTCATAAAAATGAAATGTGTTGTGATTGTATAATACAGGCTAATATTATTATAAAATATTAAATTATATTCAGCAAGAATATTTATACCATTTTGTTTTTAAGTATTATTTTATTTATAACAAGTAAACTTATAATTTATGTTTTATAGATATTTAGATATTGTACAAAACATATAAATGCTGATTCTATGCACAAATTAATGGATGCCTTAGTGAATCGTGTTGATGATGTACAGTTAGTATGTTGTGTGCATATGGCACTTTTGGGTACTAATTTATTGATAAGACATGAGAGTCTTCTAAAAAAAATTTCTCAGCGAATGGTCAATGAAATATCTCAAGCACGAATTAAGGTAACATTCATGCACACCCGCCTACAAATTTTATTTGAGTTACTTATAATAATGTTTTACGGTTTTAGGATTTAGAAAGAATAACATTGGTATTATCTATGCTTAATTATAATCCAAACACAACACCTTGTATTTTTGAAACAATTATTAATGAGATTTCGAGTGACAGAAGAAATATTGATTTTGAAAAATATCCTAAATGCTATATTTTTATTTTATGTTACTTAGGAATAAAAAATATTTATCCATATGATTGTATTTCAAAAGCTTTGAAAACTGAAACACTTCATAGATGTTTTGGTAAGTAATACGCATATGATAGTGGTTTATCTAAATTAACTAATTTATATAATTACTTAATAATACAACTTGAATTTATAGTACATAATTATTAACCAAGTAAATAAATTAATAATTACTTTGTAAAAATGAAAATAGACTACTTTTTAGTAGTGTTTCTTATTTACCATCAACATTTTTAACTTATGTGAACTGACACTTATAAATAATAAAAAATTAAAATTAATTAAAAAATATAACCATCAATTGAATTGTATAATAATTCTAATATTTTTTTTTTTAATTTAATAGAGCTATCAAACCATAACAATTATGTCTAATATTATAATTGGTTTTATTATTGAAAAGCTAAAAGTAAAACAAAATAATATTTATTTTTGAATGAGATTTTAGTATTTTATATTTTTATGTTTGAAAATTTAGTCTTATTTGTTATAAAATTATTGTAAATATTGTTTTTTCAGCAATATTTATCACTCAATAAAATGAATATTTTTTGTTTATTCTCATAGTATTTTGTTTAAATATTATAATATTTTTATAGTTTTTAGTTTATGTAAATGTAATTTAATGTTTTGTATTAAATATTGAATTATGCTTAAAAATATTTGTAGGAAAAAAAACTATGCAGATTTAATGTTCCCCGTGATATTTTGTGTTTGAATAACAGTCTGCTTCTAGAATGTCCAGACTACACTGGATCATTACTACCTGATGCGCTAAAAGAATCTTGCAATGAAGTAAGTTATATCTTTGTTTACTACCAAAAATCTTAATCAAAATAATTTTAAATATTTTTATTAAAAAATTGACATGTACAAAAAATTATAATTTTAGGAATAAGTACTTGGTTAAATATTTAAAAATGTTTGTTTTTATTGGCATAACCAAAGGGTGTATTGAGTATTCACTTAAATAAATAAAATAAGTAAGACTTATTCATTTTATATTGTATAAAATTAATATTAAAATGTTATTTCTAAGATCATTTTTTATTTTAGATATTTCTGTATTATTTTAATTATAAAAATAGAGGTGCACCATATCTTGTGCTTGTATTATAGTTATAAATGTATTATATATTATTTACTATAATATTTATAAAATTATATTATTAACCATTTAGAAAAAATTTAAAATAAGAATTATAAAATTTATTATTTTTTATGTTCATTTAATTTTGCTTGTTATCATATAATTTAATTTATATTGTATGGATCCAAAAAAAGGACGAAAAAATTTTTATGTTTTTGAAAGGAAAGTTTTGCGGAGAATTTATGGGCCAGTCAAGGATAGTTTAACGGGAGAGTGGAGAAGAAAAAAAAAATACAGAGCTGAAAACACTTGATAGTGAGTTAGACATATTAGAAATTATCAGAAGAGGAAGACTGTGATGGACTGGACATGTCTATATAAATCAAAATCCATTCTATTGGGAAAACCACAAATAAAATGAGAAGATGTTTTAAAAAAAGATAAACTGGAGGAATCTAGCATTAGCCAGAGGAGGATGGAGGCGTGTGGTGAGACGGGATGGTTCTAAAGAACCAATAAACCCAAGCAGAAAAATAATTTCTATTAATTTAGCCATGTAGATAGACAAAAATAATGAATTAATTTTGCTGTTATTTTTTGTACTAAGTAGGTAATTTATAAAATCTTAATTATTTAATTTTTATTTTAGCATTTAGCTTGGCACATACCAACTACAAGCAATTTTAAAAAACTATCTCATGATGACACTAACTTTAAGAAAGTATATACAACACTTGTGGAAATGTTTAAAAAAGAATCTTATTTACATGTATGTTATCTTCTTCCTCATCATCCCAAAGCCGGTAAATATTAATGAAATTTATTATTATTGTTGTATTTTTGAATCAAATTATGTAATTTATCTATTTTAATTATTATAGATACATTATTTTGTATTGATTCTAATGGCAAACCAGTAACCATTCCAGAGGCAATGAAAAATAAAACAATTTTCAATGATTTCCATGAACCGCCAAAGTTAGGAAAATGGTTTGCACTCGTTATTCTTGGAAGAAATTCAGTATTGTTCTATAATTATGAATTTAATGGTTTAACAGTGTGTAAGATAAGACAATTAAAAAAACTTGGCTATGAGCCGATTTTGGTAAGCATATTTATGGTATTTACAAATGGTTATTTATTGTTAACAATTTACCAGATTTGATGAAGTTATCAACATTATATTTTATTTAATAATAAATCAAATTATTTAGTTAAAATAATTATGATTTTAAATTATTTTACAGTTAAATATCAATGAGCTGAAAGAAAATTGTAATATTCAATCATTAGTAAATGAAAAACTGAAGCTTTATGATGTAATTTTAAATGTTTAAAATATGTGTTAGAAATAGCTACCATATAGTTATTATGTATATTTTTTGTAAATAAATATTAATAATAAATAACCTAATTGTTATCCTTTAAATATTTTACTTTTGAATGATTTTTCATCATTTAAATTAATTTCATTATTTTTACCTTATTAAAATGTCATAAACAAAAGTATTCTACTATTTAACTAATCGTTTATCGTGACAACTAATATTCTTATAATGTAAGTACATATTTACAACATAAGAATATACGATTCAATTCTATAGTTAGAATTTAAAACTGACGCGATAGATAAAAACAAGCGTAAATCGAACACTCGCTATTCGAGCGTACGAAAAAGTGGAAATACCACACATGAAAATAATAATTATTGACATTTAATATTTTATTTTCATGTTTTCATGATATCTATTTATCTAATACTCTGATGTTAATTTATTAGTATTTATAAATCATCATACTAATAAATTAATACAATAACATCACGTACTTTAAGATTATAACAAGAAGTTTTATTTGTAATAATGATCATTAAATATTATTTGAAATATTGAACAATTGATCGCCAATTATACTTATATTGTTGTTTAAACATTTTTTTTAATTTTTAATTTTTGTTGCATTCCGGCCCATAAAATTCCCTGTCAGTACCGGCCCATTTGGAAAATTCCAGATTTCCAGATGAGCCACTCTGCCCCTGGCTTTGAGACCAAGACATTTTAATCATATACAATGTGATATGTCATATCTTAATTTTATTGACTATCAATTATACAGAATGTTGTTCTTTGAAAATTAGACAGTTATAACTTATGTCATAGTGCAACTTCTCAACAATGTATTACCAGTTACCACATTAAATAAAAATTTAGTTTATTCCAAGATAATTTATTAACAGCCGTATAAAATAAGAACTTGAATGTTGTCGCGTCGATACTTGCGATAACGAATTTCTATGTAAATTCATACAAAACTATATAGGTTATTCTTCACATTCCGGCAACAATCATATTAAATTACAGTTATTATCAGAGGTGGATAGGTAGTTTTTTTGTTACAGGGAAATATTTTAGTGGAGCCACCAAAATGAAAAAAAATTTTGCTTATAAAAAATATATTATATTTACTCATCCTAATTTAATTTAAATAATTTAACTATAAAAAAAAATAAATTTCCATGAAAAAATTAATGGTATCGAGGGGACCACCGACATAATATAAGGCGAGGGCCCACAGGGAAAAATCCCTTTTTCCCAATGGGCCTTATCCACCCACGGTTATAACTATTTCAAATTTTGCCTGTATAAATATATTTTGCGCATAAATATAAATTTAAGTTAATTTTATTTAATTAATTTTATGGATATTTCATAAAGAAAAATAGTTTAGAAACAGTATATCAATAATCTTTAATGGGAAACGCCTAGTATTTCTAATCAATCTGGACTTAAAAGGAGCTCCCTCTAATGTTTTCTAGACTGGAGCCTGGGACAAAACGGTCCCGTTGCCCCTCCCCCCCCCCTAGAACGGCTCTGATTTTAGTGCGAGAGTTACTAATTTAAACACTTTAATTACAGTTGTAACTCTCCTAGGTGTGAAATCAAGTCCATTGCTCTATTGTTCTGTATATAAACGATTTTATGTAGAAATCTACTTGGTATAATAATTTTTATTAAAATTTCAAATAATCATAATTATTTTTATTTTTGTTTTCTATATAAGTGACATTTTTATAAGTGCCTAGGTACGCTAACAATTAAAAAAAAATGTATTATTGTTGGAATGTAAAATCGAAGAAATGGCTTGACTTTGCATTCTCAAGTAAACATCGTACATCTAATAAAAATTAGGTTTTTTAATTCTTATCACTGTTTTCTTGAGTATTCGGTTCATTTGAATTTGATCCGTCTACCCGATAAGCTTACCTTTATCAGAGGGGCAACCTTTTGAAATAAAACGTTAGTATTTTTTTGATTTTGTTGCCAGTAAACAGATTTAAAGCGATTGTTGATTAATTACAATAACAGGAAAACCAAAATCATACGACAACGTTATTTTACAGCTGCCGAAAATAATTATGTCATGTAAATTATTGTCGTTCATCAGTTTGATAATCGTTATGGCACGTGTTTCGAGTGTCGGATAATACCACGGGCTCGGCTCACTCGAGTGCGAGGTCTGTTTGTCATTTGGCTCGCCGTTCGATTTGAAAACAAACGGCGATATGGTTGAATGTCAAACATTGTTGAAAAATTAATACGTTCACGGAACACGTATTGTTTTTAGGTCGACAGTGTGATGCGGATAAGAAGCCAGTTATCTTTCGAACGCGCGTTTACTGATCACCGTGCGTGGGCGCGACGACGCAGCAGTAGATAAACACGATCCGGCCATGCGCAATACGGTGCCGGTCGAATTTTGCTTGTACAAAATTTTACGATCGACACTGTTATAACCACCAATGGCAGAACTACGATCATTGAGACCCGTGGATACAATTTTTTTTGGATAATAATAATAATAATTATTTTTGGCTAAATAGTTGGGAGAAAGGAGAATAATAATAATAATAATATAGAACTTAGAACCTAGAAAAAAAAATCATAAATTATGAATACAAAAAATTAAAATATAAGATAAAAAAGCTGAGTTGGTTATAAATTATATTATATTATATTATACGTGGTTATAATATATAATTATAACTTATAATTTACAAGGCAAATGTCGAAAAATTTGAATTAAGTATAATAAATTATCAATTTTAAAATGTAGGTAACCCTAAGCAAAACTTTATTTCCCGATGATAATGTTTAAACAGTGTGAATACATTTTTAAAACTAACAAAAAGTTTTTGGAAGTGTTTAAAATAGATTTTATACGTATATAATAAAACTATGATGCAGATCATTTTATACTCAAATATTTTACCTTTTCAACTCCATTACTTAACTATAAAATACTACTATAAAATAAATATTAATGGAAAGCATTATTCACGTGCGATTTAATATTTTAAAGTATGCTGCATAAAACGTTGGTACAATTTTATTACCGTAAGTGAAAAAAAATGCTTAAACTAAAATGGAACTAATATTTTAATAAATTAATATGGATATACATTTAATACTTATTTAAACATCAACATTAGGTAAATGTTCAGAAACAAAAAGTAAAAATATTTCTGGGTTAATTTGTGAAATGCTAATTCATGTAAGTGTACATGCATTTAAAATATAACTCGTTTGCATTTGCATATTTTCAGAAAATTATTGAAAAGTGTCAAGATAATTAAAAAAATACGAGTACTAAATGTATTTATTGTTTATTTTTAATACGTAGAACATAAAAACTATGATATAAAAGATAACTGTTTTAGAAAAAATCGTTTATCCACTATGCAATCAGAATTTAAAAATGTTTACTGAAAATCAATCAGAAGATATTAAATAAAACATTAAAAAGGGTGAAATTCCTATAAACCTATAGAAGTTTCAACCGTGTGCAGTGGCCGCTCGTAAGTTCTAGTGGTAGAGGTGTGACTTAAATATAACACTCCTAGTCATAGGTCTAATAAATTTAATATAAAATAATACAATATACACATATTATTACTTTTAAGCTTAATATTTTATTTGTATCTTTAAAGTATCTTATACATAGTACCTATATAAGTACATTATATTATTAAATAATTTAAAAATAATTAATTTTTGGAGTTACTAGTATTTTATGAATAAACTCCATGCGCCTATTTTTTGCTGTTAAAAAATGGTCCTACTAGTTTCTAGTTGCAGACCGCAGTAGAAAATAGAAATACAATTTATAATGTCATGGACGTCCAAAATATTTATACAAGAATACAGTATAATCGTACAGGTAGTAAAGCTTTGGATGGTCTGGCTAGCATGGTCGGCAAAAATATTTCCTAGTGTGGATGCAGCTTAAGAGAAAATATACAATGTAGTAGTTAGTACCTAGCTATACAATTATTTGATAAAACTTATTGAGATTTAATTGGATTCTTACAACTTCAAAATAAAGTGTTTATAATATAGAATTTTAATATTAATATATTTAATATAATAATATATTTAGAAATTTAAATACTTTAAGACTTGTTACAGTTTTATTTTTAAAAAGTTATTGTTTTATTTTAATTATTTTAATTGAAGTATAATACAGGTTGTACTTTGTGTGCATTATTATTTAGCCTGGTTTAGTTTTATCTAATTTATTTTAATTACTTGTCTAATTTAAAAATCTGTTCTAGATTGGACTTATACAAAATTGATATTCAAGTAAGGTACAGTCTGGTTTATTATCATGTTTTAACATTAGAACTTATTTTTAAATGTCGGTCCGGTCTTGGTATTTTCTAATACATTTTAAAATGTACGGTCCGGTCAAATCTGTTTCCTATTTTATTTCATCGGTCCGGTCAGGTCTTTAAAAAAACGAATCGTGCAGAGCTCAGGTAGTATCCGATTATGAGACTTCGCCTATTATTTATAATAGTACACTAATATGTTTAAAAATAGTAATAGACAATAGTGGCCGACAACGAACGACGAGTGTTTATGTAGTTTAATTTTAAAAATAAATAACTTAATATAGTAAATAGTTATACAGGTAGATATATATATATATATATTAGGTTATATTAGGTACTAATATTTCACCGTATGGACGACACTACCAGTCGTCCTAATACTGCTCAGTGCTCAGTGAGCACGTACACACTACACATACACTCCTGGTATCTAAGGAAATAAATGTAATGTTCGCACACGACAAAATGTATGTAATTATAATTAGAGACCAAACTTAAAAATAAGATGCTCTTATATTTTATTATTTCATCAAATAAATTTTTTATGTGTATTCTTTTTTGGAAAAATATGATTTTTCATAAATATATATTAAATACTGAAAAAACAAATGAATGAACTGATTTATAAAATTTATAAATTTTTCCTTTATTAAAGGAATTATAATATAGTTAAATTAATAAAATTTAACCTTTAAAAAATTATTCAGTCATATTTAATCTATACTATTGTGGTATTCTGGTATATACTGATTTTTATAGGTATTTTACATGTGTAGCACACAGAGCTGAACAAAAACAAATCAAAATTAAGAATAAAAAGTAAAATCATGAATAACTAATTTATTTATGAATAAAGAATAAAATTATTCTGAATAGTTTTATTTGTGAATAAAACAATTATTCAGAATAAATTTATTCGTTAAAATCATGAATGATATTAAATATAAAAATATATTTAATTTATTTTTGTCAATTATTATATGTATTACTTTTATATATATTATTTAAGTCTAAATAATAAGTCTATTATTATTATTCATCGTTATTTAGGATTTAAATTTATTATTTATATAATTATAGAGAATAATGAATAACGAATAATAATACAAATTAAAATAATGACTAAAAATAAAAATCAATAATAAAATTAAGAATAAATCAATGAAGAATAATTTTTTATTCAAATAATCAATGGAATAATATTTTATTCGACTAATGCCCAACTCTGGTAGTACATAAGAGCACATAGTCACATAGTACCTGAAATTTAGATTTATTTAAAAATAATATAAATAACATGTTTTAAATAATAAAAATAAAAACTAACTATATATAAATACCAAAAAATAGTACCTATTAATACACTTCAGCATTTACATGTTTAAGTTTAAACGTGTACCTATATTGAAGTATTTATAATACGCTACGATTTTACGATATTATCGAGCAGTCACAAGTCATACATGAAGAGCGCCCTTTATATATGACCTTTTACGTGTACAAAATGCCAGTATATTAATATAAGTCACGAATTAAGATCTATTTTAATTCATAATATAAAGTTTATGGATATCAGTGAAGTTTTTATTTTTATATCTTTTCTCTAATCACAAAATAATTGATTTGCTTATGAATGTTATGTTCTTATAAATACTGCTTTGCACATTTTGTCTTGACAAAGAAAGAGACTGATGGAGGTTAAAAACATTTTTGCATTTTTTTATAAACCATTAAATTTTTTTATAAAATGTTCAAATTGAACTTCAATATGGCAATATACTCTTCAAACATATTATTTTGTATAATACTCGTATATTCTTTAATCTTGAAATATGCTTTTTTATGCTTTAAAAATGTTCGTGTATCAATTGATAGGAAAATGAATCGCCAAGAAACCTTATTCAATAGGAGTTTGCATACTCTCAGTAAAAATAAGTATGTAAAAACATAAATATCCGGTCTCTAATTATAATTATTCGAAAAATGTAGTTAAACAAATGTTATTTTTTAAAAATGTATAAATATATATATTTAATTTTCTTCTTTTCTTTAATTTTAGTAGGGTTGCAGATCGTCACGTCGTCCAAACCAACACTGGTTGACTTAAAAAATGACTTCGTCAAATTGTGAACTAGAATCCATCTCCAAAAAATTACTTTTTATTTGGTAATGATTCGATACTTCTGTTGGAAATCGTATGTACACTGTATAAAAAAATAAAAAAATAAAAATTCACCATCATGATAAAACTAATTTTTTGTTTTGGTCAGAATCTAAAAAATAATAAGTTAATTTAGGTTTATTTAGAGAATTATTAAAATTGTACTCAGTTTAATTTTTCACACAATCAACATATTGTATACATTATAGATATAAATGACTTGATGAAATACTTACTTATAGTCAATGAATGGCCTTATTTGAAAATACCAATTGTTAATAATGATTAAATAGGTGAATAGATGAGCAATAACAAATTTATCCGATTTGTGTTCATTGTAACAAAAATAAAACAACATTTTATCTATAATATTTCTTTTGAGTTGATAATTTATTATATATTTTATTAAATACATGTTGAAAACACTTTTATTATATTTGGTGATCAGAAGTCAGAAAGCATATTACATTTTACGTAGAAATACACTCTTTCTTGGTCATGATTATTGCTCGAAAGCCATTTTAAACTATGTATCAGGCTTTCTGAGCAACAATCAAAATCATTTAGAGCTTATGTTTAGTAATACAACTGTAAATATTGTTAATAATTGTCAATTTGTTTTGAAAACCATAAAACTTCTGAAACAAAACATACATTATATTAGATAGTATATAATACATTTTAACTGTAAAATAATTATTTTATTAGCAAAAACAAAATGTCGAACACTGAAACAATATAATAAAAAAAATAAAAAGTTACTTATTATCCACAAATAAAATGTTTCCAACTCGTTTAATAACTGAAAAATGTTATTCTAAAATACATGTACCTAATTATTTATTATTAACTATTTTATTTTATTTTTTATAAGGTCTACAATGCTGTGCAAACATAATGTGTTAAGTGCATACTATATAAGTATATTTATCCACAGTAAAATTAAGACCAATACATTTTATAAAATATTATAAAGTTAAACTTGTATTACGTTCAAAGACTCAAAGTTATTCTAACATAGTTTGCAATTAAAATAATTATATATTACCTTTTATTACATTCATATTTATTTTGGAATGTTTTATTTTTTATTAGATTCAGATCATATTATAATCATATGATGTTATTTAGGTTAAAAGGAAGACCAGATGAAAAACTAACATTAATGAATTTATGATACCTAGTATGCAGTAACGTTAAAGTTAAATGCAGAAATATAAGTACACAAAAATAGTATTAAAATAAAAATACCAGTGTCAAATAGCACATTTTAGTTTTTATTTGCTTATAGTTAATCATGATAATTATATCAAACTTATTTAGAGGTATAGAAAACTTAATTTCGGATGTTATGTATGTTAGGTATGGAATTATAATACGAATTTGAATAAACTATTTATTCTACTAAAATAATAGGAAAACTTTCCTAAAAATCACTTTAAAAGAAAAAAGAAACACTTTTTATGTTTTTATGAAAATATTTGGAAAAATATTTCGAGAAATAAAAGGTGCTAATAAATTGTTTTGATTTATTCTGGCAGAATATTACAATACATTTTTATTTTATTTAAATTCGAGAAAATAAATCTTTGGTTTCTGAGAAGAAGAGCTTTAGTCAAAAGTCATGAAATATAAATGGTTTGTCTCCAATTATCTTGTAAGTTCTCAATATTTTCATAATTTTATTGCTAAATATTTGTGGGCGTGGAAAATTAATATAGAAAGTATTTGAAGTGGAAATAAAAACATTTCATTTTCACTTGTAGCAATTTTCTAAATTTGATGTACTTGTGATGAAAACTGTTCAAAATTTACTTAAGCCTTTTTATTAGGAACTCAGGAAATATTATATTATAATATAATAAAAACTGATTCAATCAATCAAAATTCCTTATATCTAAACACTTTTCGTAAATTACCTGATAACTAGAACGCGGATTATATGCATTCGCATGATTGCATATTATCACCTTTTTACTTAATATAAATATTTCACTGATTTGTGATGTAAATGGCATATAATCGTATTTTTATACATTTAAATATACTGATTAAATTTGTGAAAATACATTCAAGCAAGAAATTTACCAACTATACAATTCATTACAAGTTAAGAAGGAATTATTGACAACAGCATCTGAACTGCCTGATATATTATTAGAAATAAATCAGAACAAAGAATATTCGACTGCGAAACAAAAACTATGGTTATGATTCCATAAGTATGATTGACGTACAAATTAATGGCACAAGTACTGCACTGCCTAATTCAATTGTGTTGACAAGTAACATGCCTTATAAGTTTAAAACTGTCCTGTGAGGTTCTTTGATGTTGAACGGTTTTCTGCATTTAAACTTGTTTTGGACGATAAGCGACATAGTTTTACAATGAACCATTTAGAACAATATTTAGTAATATAATACGAGAACAACAGTTCTAAGTAAATATTTTAAATATAATATACATAAAAATTATTTTTTCAATTAAATATTTAACATAATAATAATTTTTATTAATAAATTTCATTATCATAAATTTGTCATAATTTTTTTTTTTCATTTTTATTGTATATTCTAATATAATCTATGCACATTTCATTCTTTTAAGCTGCATATTTGCATACCTACATATAATATAATTTTTTCACTACATATAGTCGAGGTTTATTGATAAACCTCTTCGTCAGCTTAAACATAATTAGCTACGTGATCTACTATATAACACTTAGAATTATTTTAGCAATTTATCCCTCTAAGTTTTAAATTGGTTGTAGTGTCAACGGACGCGCATTTTCCTAGCGTCACCACATATAGAACTTTATGTTAACATATTTACTCATTGTGTTATTTTGTATACACAGAATATAGATATATTTGATAAAAAAAAAAAAAAAAAAAAAAATATCTATATTAATGTACAATCAATAAAATAGTAAATAATAAATAGTAGTAAGTAAAAATAATATATATAGGTTGGTCTTTCGATGTTTGATATTTTTTGATTTAAACAATAGCAAATTAATTAAACTTCAAACATATCTAGTTTGATTTTAATGAACCCTTATATGTATTAAATTAATAAGCGGTTGACGTTACTTAATATAGCTGTGGTGACATTATGATGTCAAAAATATACACCGATATGCATTACAAAATGCTTATAAAAGTCATAGATTGTTGTTTCTAAATAATGCATCTGTCATAATAGACATAAGTAATTAAGTGACACATACAAATTATTTAAGCCTGCAGTGACATATCTAATTAATATTAGTTTAATAAAATTATGAGTCTTTGACTGATATAAAGGTAGAAATATATTTGCGAAAGCACATGAACTAAGTTTTTAAACTGTTATGGTAAAATAATAGTAATAAAATTTTAAAAACTGATAATTTATAAGCATAAATAAAATTATATAATGCAAAACATATCAATTATATACTTAAGTATTATATTTAATTTGAACTTAAAACAAATATTCAATTATAAGAGTAATAATCCTTATTATTATTATTTATTTATCTTTTTATTCTAAAATCATTTATAGAATAATTAAAGACATTGACTTGTAGATAATCGCATTTTTTATCATAAAAAAAAACTAACAAAATTATTTTAGAGAAAATTAACGAACTCTTCATAATTTTATGTAATGTCATTTTATTTTAAATACAACGAGAAAATAATATAATATAATGTTGCGTTTATACAACGTTCCTAGTCTTAGACGAAGATAACTGTGAGGCTATAGTTATTTAATTTAATCTTCGCGTTTGTCTACAGAAATTACGTGTGTACTGATTTATATATATGTTGTTAATGTAGCGTTCCTACACCGTTTTGAAGTTTTGTTCAATGTTTCACCGGGTTAGTGGGTAAAAAAGGGTAGACATATTATATAAGTATCATAAGTAGGGTTGTAGTTTTTTTTTAAGGGGTGAATAAATTTTACTATTCAACAGTAGCAGGAAGTGAGAGAAATATTATGAAGGGTGAGTAGTAGGTAGGTAGGTAAAATATCGGGCCCGGAACAAATGTTTCTGTGCTGGATGATCAAGAGAATTCAATAGTAAAAAAAAAAATTCAAATAATAATTCACGTGTAGTATAATAATTTACAGCAATAGATAAAATACTAATATCGAAAAATGCAATATGGGATGCTCATCAAACTACATATGTTTTTGGTATAGCAGTGTTTCTTTAGAGGAATAAAAGAGTAAACAGATTCCAAATATATTTTTAATGTAGTATGTGAATTCTCACAATTTGTGTAGAATATGAATCTTTAACAATTATTACGTTGTGTCGATGGCTTGTAAATTAATTGAAAATCAGAATAGGGTACGTTGACTTATTAAAAATAGAAGATATATAAAATAAATATTTTATACCTACACAAAGGTAAATCGTCGAGTAAATTAACAATAATATACGATTTATTAAAGGGCAAGGTATAAAGTAGTATTGTAATACGACAAATAACTAATTCATTAATTATTTATGCTCTATACATATCCTCTATGCAAAATTCCATAATACTTCGCAGTTTACCATAAGTATTAGGTTACACCATATCTATAGTTCATATATAAAAATACTATAATCTTTTTGATATACTTAAATACTTAAAGGATAACAAAGTTTAGTGAATTTAAGAAACGGAATAATATTATTTGAAAAAGTAATATTTAGTATAATATTGTTATTACTAAGCTAAAGTATATCTTCCGATAATAATACTGTATATTATCATAATATGTAATATATATATGGACTTAAATAATTTATTTATTTATTAAATCATGACAAGAATTCTTATAAATGAATGAAATATAAAACAAAGTAAATTAAAATAAGAAGTCATTTAGTCATCGCATTGTGTACTGGTTTATGTAAACCTATGTAAAATAAATAATTTAAATCAATAAAAAAATTAGGTAGGTACTTCAAATTGTATATTAGTATAATATTTTAGGCAAGGATCCAGCCTACCATAACGGGAGGGGCGGTAAATAAGTATACTCTATGAGTCGACCGGAGTTGACCGGCTGACGGTTGTCATCGATCACAATAATATTGTTCTTATGACTATTCATTAATTTATGTTATAAAAATAAAAGACGAACATTTGTGATATTAATAATACATTAGAATGTTATTACGCAAGATAATGCAATTTAATAGTACATTATATTAAATTAACACATTTTGATAAGGCCAACGGAAGGGGAGGGCGGTTACCCCTACCGACCCCCTGGATCCGCGTCTGTAATATTATTTTTATCAATTAATAATTTGAAAAATAATACTTGTAGTACAGCCATACGTAGATATAGGCAAGCTATGGGACTAAATAATAGTTTTATAGTGAAAATAGTATAAAGGTAAACGTTAATGAAAGAATTGTGATTTTTTACATTGAACAGTACAGTTATAATATGCATATGATAGGTATTGAATATTGTTAAGAATGAGTAAAAAATGATCAGAAAAATCAATTTTATGTTTAGTAAATGTAAGTGGAATAGTTTTAATTTGATTTAAAAAAGTTAGTATAGAGTGTAGATTTATATAGCACATAATACCTAATTTTATATACCTATATTTAATTGAAAATAAATATTCTTTAAATAATAAAAATTATGACATTGGTCCTATGTAGACTTTATCTATATGTTATACAGGACTGACACAACGTATCTGTTCGCGAAGTCCTGTGCAAATATACAGAACCAAAGTCTTTAGTAAAGCATAGAAATAATTTTTTCTTTACAACAAAGAAACAAAATAGGTATTGAACAACTAATTTGAAGTGATTTAAATATTATAATCGATTAAATTAAATAAACAATACTTTCATAAATGCATATTAGTACACAATATATATGTCGTATAATAAGTGGAAATAATTAAACATTCACTAATTTGTATACCTAATATGAATCTTAAAACCGTAAGAAAAAAAGAATATTTATATATTATTAAAATATAATATTCAATTGTGATAATATTCCCTCAAAATAGAAGTAGAAATATTTTACGTGTACCCATTTATTAGATACAATATCAGAATATATACAATTTTATATTTGATTTTGTATATTTTTATTAAACCGTAGGTAGGTTATACCCACGTAAGAGGGTAAATAATATTTATTAACATGTTCGACAAACGTGTTTTTTCTTGTGCAGAAAACTCTTTCGTGACAGATAAAATTATTAAACAATACTCGTGTATTATACGGATACTCATATATATGTATATATATGATAAGTACGTACGCAAGTTATAATTACAACGCGTACAATCAGTGCAGGCGAACATTATATAATATTTTACGCTACAAGGTATTTATTTTTTAAGCGATAATGAACATTTTTCGAATTTCTCGTACACCTACAGATATCGAATAACGTGAACGAGAATATGAGTGTGTTTGTGTGTGTCTAAAAACGTACATGGTAGCAATTTATTATTATTATACAAAGTACGTGATAAAATAGTTTTAATACACAATAAAAATAATATATCTGCATATATAAAAAATATGGAGCAAGTTCCATAATGTACAAGTAGTTATATAGCTGCGTGATATTCGCGGTGGAATAACAATAATACTGTGCGTCCATAATAAATATTTCGAAAACAACAGAGACAAGAAATAGGAGGCGAGTAGTGTGGTGTAGTGTACCTAAGCGTGGTTTATTGTTTTTCTGTACAAATATTATCCGCGTACGCGATTAGAATAGTTATAAAAAAATAAAAATAAAACAGGTTACGATAGTACTACGTAGTAATACGGCATGGCAGTTGGTTCGTTAAATGAATAAATGCAGTTATGTAGTTTTGAGTACACAGCGTTTATAAGAGTGTTGAAATAAATAACGAAATACGAATTCAATACTTACACAATGCGCGTCGGACATCTGTGGATGTAGGGGGATGTCTGCTGAGCGATCTACCGAACGCGGCCGTAACGTTCGACGGTAAAAATACAACAGAGGAAAAGGTTAAAACTACGCTTCCGGGACCGACTGAGAGAGAGAGTGAGAGAGAGAGAGAGAGAGAGAGAGAGAGGAACTCGACGGTGGCGCGCGAGTGAAGAATACACGAGCGATGAGCGCGGCGGTAGTACACGAAATGGTCAGGCCGGAGCGGCGGTTATACTTTTATAAAATTGGTCCGACGACGATGCGACCGCGGCCGTCGACGGCGGAAACGAATCAACCCCTACAGACCCCACCCACCCCCGCGTCGGTAACGGCGCACCGACGAATCGCGTTGGCGGCGCGCTCGTCGGGCCCCTTCCCACGCAACGCGACGCGAACGATCGCGCGCGATCAGCCCCGACCGCGTCGTGCTCCCCAACGCGGCAGCGACGGCGGCGACGGACCGTGTCGTACTCACAGTTCACCCACCACCCGTTCACCGTCACCCGCCCGCCGAGCACTCCCGTCCGATTCCCGCGCGCTCAAAATGGCGCGTATTCTTTTCCCCCTTCCGACTGCATTATCATTATAGTCATTATTATTAGCATTTACCATTATTATATTCAATCTTATTTTACGCGTAACGATATTACGACGATGATAATAGTAGTAGTAGTAGTAGTAGTAGTAGTAGTAGTAGTAGTAGTAGTA